ACCATCGCGCTCAGCAGCAGGAACACCAGCGTCACAAAGCTGCCTACATAGATCGTCTCTCCCCCCTCTCTCCCTCCCCCTACCCCTCTCTCCCTCTCTCTCTACGCTCAGTAACAGTAGACTCACCATCGCGCTCAGCAGCAGGAACACCAGCGTCACAAAGCTGCCTACATAGATCCGTCTCTCGCCCTCTCTCCCTCTCCCTCCCCTTCTCCCTCTTTCCCCCCCTCCCTCTCTCCCTCTCCCCCCTCTCTCCCTCCCCCTACCCCTCTCTCCCTCTCTCTCTACGCTCAGTATCAGTAGACTCACCATCGCGCTCAGCAGCAGGAACACCAGCGTCACAAAGCTGCCTACATAGATCCGTCTCTCACCCTCTCTCCCTCTCCCTCCCCTTCTCCCTCTTTCCCCCTCTCCCTCTCTCCCTCTCCCCCCTCTCTCCCTCCCCCTACCCCTCTCCCCCTCTCTCTCTACGCTCAGTAACAATAGACTCACCATCGCGCTCAGCAGCAGAAACACCAGCGTCACGAAGCTGCCTACATAGATCCGTCTCTCCCTCACCCTCTCTCTCTCCCTCCCTCCCCCCTCTCCCCCATTTCTCCCCTCTCTCTCTACGCTCAGTAACAGCATCAGTAGACTCACCATCGCGCTCAGCAGCAGGAACACCAGCGTCACGAAGCTGCCTACATAGATCGGCGCGACGACGCGACTCGTCTCCAGTAGGGGGCGTACGCCGCCGTTGCGCGTCACAACGTCAAGCAGGGTGCCGAGAGCCGCCGGGAACGAGCGGAAGCCGCCAGAGGGGGCGCCACCGAAGCACAGCACGCCGATCTGACCATAGGCCGTCAGCAGCACGAGGAACAGCGTCTGTGCATGTGCGCAGGAAAAAAAAGAACATATGTATAGTAGCAAAAAATAATAATTTTATGATATAAGTATAAATATAAAAAAAAACAAATTAAAAAAATAAGGAGAATAAAATAATAAAGAGTAACAAAAAGAATAAAATAAAGTATAGAAGATATAAATATATAAAATATAAGTATACACAGGGCAAAAACAGCATCTGTGCGCATGTGGAAAACAAAAGAGCATCTTACGATGTGCGCTCAACGAATCATTCAGGACGTCCGCGCATAGAAAACAAAATGGCATCTTACGAGGCGGGTTGCGAGAAATTGTAGGCATACGTGAAGCAGAACTTGTAGTGTCTGTTCACTTAATTTGAAATAAAATTTCGGATTTACTTACGGCGTAGAAAACGAGTTCCTTCGACGCAGCCTTGTAGATGTGACCAAACTTGGCGAGAGTTGTGTTGTAACGGAACAAACGAAGAGCCTTGACGATCAGTAGGAACATTATGATCCCAATAAGTGCATTCAGAACCTGCAACGCACAAAGGCAGTCTTCACAAATGAAATTTCTAAACACTGGACCTTCGGTCCACCAAGCCAGCAGAATTTACTGGACCGGACTAAATTTTACTGGACCAATATTATTTTTACATTTTTGACAATAAAGAACAAAACAGTAATATCATTTTGTATTTTACCTATAATAATACCTTCTACACACTGCTATGATAACAGTAGTAATACCTATCAAATATACATCACATGCCTTCTACACACTGCAATGATAACAGTAGTAATACCTATCAAATATACATCACATGCCTTCTACACATGCACTACAATAAAAGCTGCAAAATAGAACAACAAATCTGCGTTAGTCGTCAGTGAGCATGTATCACACATACCTTCTACACACTGCTATGATAACAGTAAGGATACCTATCAAATATACATCACATACCTTCTACACACTGCTATGATAACAGTAGGAATACCTATCAAATATTCATCATATACCTTCTACACACTGCTATATATACACATATCTACAATGAGCAAATCAAGTAAGAGTGCGACAGACATCGACGATAACGTAATTCGCGTGATAGCGCGACCCCAAGCGCCTCCGTATTATGTCCGGACCCCTCTGCATCGCAGACGCGCGCCAAATCGTCACGGCAACGTACGGCCGGCACTGGATAGTCCTCCTTCGTCTTGTAGGTGTCGTCGTCGTCGTCGCCGTCGCCGTCGTCGCCGCAGCAAAAGGCGAAGATGTAGTCGATCATGCGGTTCCACAGGATGATGCCCATCTCTCGGTATGCGAGCGGGATGCTGCTGGTTGCCGTGTACTTGCCGTACTCAAGATTCAGTATGGCTTTGATCTGAAAGCATCGTATAGGATCGTAGCAGGAACACCAGCGTCACAAAGCTGCCCACATAGATCGTCTCTCCCCCTCTCTTCCTCCCCTCTCCCTCCCCCTCTCTCCCCCTCTCTCTCTTCCTCTCCCCCACTCTCTCTACGCTCAGTAACAGTAGACTCACCATCGCGCTCAGCAGCAGGAACACCAGCGTCACAAAGCTGCCTACATAGATCGTCTCTCCCCCCTCTCTCCCTCCCCCTACCCCTCTCTCCCTCTCTCTCTACGCTCAGTAACAGTAGACTCACCATCGCGCTCAGCAGCAGGAACACCAGCGTCACAAAGCTGCCTACATAGATCGTCTCTCCCCCCTCTCTCCCTC